TGGGCGGATGGCCAGGAGTTCACTTCCAATCATCTGGAGTTTGAGATATCCACCAGCCAGCCAGGTGGTGGTGGCAAGCCAGCAGTGAGCCATCTGAGAGAGGGGCAGCTGTGATCTCACTGGCTTCTCAGGACACTGGGGGAATGCACATCACGCCACCCCCTGGAGAAACCGAGCAAGTGCCTTGAGGTTTGACTGGCTCCTGCCCTTTGAGGAAGGGGATCCACCTTTGAAAGCACCCTGCTCAAGGAAGACACAGTCCATCTCCAGCTAGCTTTGTTTGATCGGATTCCCTTCAAGAGTCTCCTGAGCTCTTTGAGCTCTCGAGAAAGCACTGGGTGGTGTGTGGACTCCCCCTTCCCTTCCCCACCTTCAACAGATTGATCTGTTCAGTCATCAGAGAGCCTTGACTGTTCCTGGCTTGACAGCAGGGGGGCCTAGCCAAGGTGTATTCCTTCCCAACAGCCCGGCTGAGCTGTGCACCTTGCAGCAGTTGTGCCTCCTGGGTAGCCCAGACACTGCTGTTCCATCAGCGAACTTCACCCACCCAGCCTGTACCTGTACCTGTACTCCTGTAGCCCACAAAAGCATTTCATTTGCTTTTCTAAGGGGACCCAAGCGTTTGCCGAGGGCGGGGCCATGAAAGGAAGGAGGAGCCAAGAGGGCAGTAGACCCACCGCTTCATTAGTAGCCTGAGGCTCCGCCAAGCTTGATCCTAGGTGGTGGCAACAGGTTGCTACTCCCAGGTGCAAGCAGGCGCTCCAGGGCTGCTGCTGCTGCTGCTGTCAAGAGCTAGGCTTGGTCCCTGCCTCAGCCACAGGCGCCTGGGGAAATCCAGGTTAGGAATTGCAGCCCGGGTGCGACCTGGGAGAAGGGATACAGCCCAATGCCCCAGGAGGGAGGAGGGGGCAGAGAGTGGTGTGCCTCGGCCCCAGAGCAGAATGGGAACCCTGGCTCATTGGGCAGTTGGCGAGAAAGCAATGTTTCTGCTGAAGCCTCAGGTGTCAGCAGACTTAACCCCGAGGAGAGGGTCGGTGCAGAACAGCTTGTGCAGGAGTTTCTCTCACCCTGGGCTAGTGGGGCATAAGACTGGCTGGCGTTTCTGGGTTCTTAGCTAAGCGCACAGGCTGGTGGGCGTCCACCTCAGTGCTGAAGGCGGGGGGGGGGGGGTAGTGAAGAGCGCGGCTCTAGGGAGGGGTGCAGCTTAGGAGCAGCACAGCAAGTGTGTTTGACCCTCAGGGCTGCAGCTGGCAAAGGGACACGAGGCTGGACGACCGGTGCTGACCACCCCGCAACCATCCACCACAGGTGAGCAAAGAGGAGCAAAGGCACAGGCTCTGGTGAGAATTGGGAAGGGGGAGAGTGGCTGGAATAGGACACTTCGTGATGAGATTTCTCTGGGACTCTTCGAAGGTCTTCCAGGATCTCTTTTCTCTAGCATTCTCTATTCTCTCCCCCACTTCCCTGCTCCCTCACTCTTCCCTCTCCTTCTCCCTCTCCCCATTCTCTCTGCCTCTGTAGTGCCTCTCTAGATCTTTATCTCTCGGTCTCTGCCTTCTCTGTCTTTCATGGACTCCTCTGTCTCTCTTGGTCTGGAGTGTTCTCTCTCCCTGTCACTGCTGAGTGCTGACTCTCCCGCTCTCCCTGCTGGCTCTCCGTCTGTCCTGGGCACACTTCACTCACCAGACACAGGAATATGCCTGTGGGTTTCCCGAGTGCACCAGGCAGCCGGCAGCCCATCGGGAGCTCTCTATTCGCTCCTGGCTGCGCTCTGGGTTCTCTCCATCAGCGCACTGTCTAGGCTAGCCACCTGACGCCTAGGGCACAGGCTGCCTTCTACTGCGTGCGGAGCTGGCCAAGTGAGTGTCCCCGTGCCTTTTCTGCCCCTAGGGGCCTTCTCCAGCTGTCCTAGTCTGAGTTGCCTGGGAAAATGAGGCAGCTACAGCAAAGTCAGTTTGTGGCCGCTTACCCCTTTAAAAAGTGGTTGGAGGGCCCCGGGGTTCCTCGCGCGGCTGTGGCGCTTTGGCTGTCCACGGGTTGGGTAGCGCAGCTTCCCCTTTAAGGCCGGAGCCACTCATCCCTGTGAGTGTGAGGGTGTGTGAGTGTGCGGCGTGCGTGTCTCCTCCTCCCCGAGTGACACAGCAGTGAGAAATGCCTATCAGTAACTTAAACCCCCGAAACTCCACCTTCCGGGCGCGCGGCGCGGAGCCCGGCGGTGGGAATGGAGCGAGCAGATTGAGGCCGCCACTGCCGCGTAGCCAGCATGAACTTGGTCGTGAGCTGAAGCGGCCAGCGGCAGGCGGGTGCGGGGGCACGGGCCGCTAGCCACGGGGTGATCTGCAACGGGGCTGGGCCACTCGGCGGGCGCCTGGGGTCAGGCTGCCCAAGCCGGCGGCCGCCCGCCCCTTGGGCACTGCCCCCGCCGCCTCCGGAGCTCTGCAGCACGGTAAGGCTGAGGGCGGACGCAGGAGGTGCAACTGCTCTGGGGTCTCCGGGGTGTACTTGTGGCCATCACTTACAGTCCCCATCGCTGAGGATCTAGGGCCCGGGGGTGCTGCGAGCCGGGGGACCCCAAAGTTTGCTCCGAACACAAGGCCCACCTGGCGCTGCAGGCGTCTGTCCCTTTCTCGGACTGGTCCGGCCAGGCTGAGCGCAGCTCACAGCGCCCGAGAGCTGTGGCCTCAGCCCCGTGTCTGAAATTTCCTGAAATTCGGCAAGGGCAACCACGTACCGAGGAGAGAAGGGAGAGAGTAACAAGCTGTGTCGGGGCTCCTGACCGCTGCGTTGGGCTAAGGGGAGGCTCCCACTCCGACCCAGCGCTCCTGGGCCACTCACAGCTTGGATGCCACTGGCGACTGGGTCTCTGCATGCTGGCTCCCTGAGCCCGGGCTGATCGGCAGTGGGCGCTGGGGAAGGATTCCCTCACCCTAATCCGGTTTGCCGCTGACCAGATGAGATAGTGTGGAGTGTGCGCGCGTGCCTAGCCGGCTGCCCTGCGCTCCCTCCCCAGCCAACTCCTTGGGAGAGAAGCCTGGCGCGGAGCTGCCTACCGGAGTCAGCCCAGACTGTGCTACTGCCTTGCGCTCCCAGCGCCGCGGAGCCAGAATCCGTGCTTTGGGCCGCTGGGCATCAGCGTGGGGGCAGAGCCTTGCGTCTGTTAGAGCGGGCGGGAAGCCCCCCGAAGCGTCGCCAAATACTTTTCTCGGCCAGTTGGCTTGGGCAGGCTCGGTTCCAATGCAGTGCGACGGCAGACTCCTGGAAAGCTGGCGATGCCCTCGGATTCTGATTCGTGAGTAAACTCGGACTCAGCAGACACTAATCGGATTAGCCTGCCAGAAAACTCAGCACCGAAGCTGTCGGAACCTCAGCAAAAAGAGACGCACCTCAGGTCAGGGGAATCACTCCCCTGGGCGCTGTTGCAGCGGGGTGCGGTTAGTCTAGCACCCTGAATATGGGGGTGTGTGCGGGCAGGAGTGCAGGGTGAATAGGGGACGTAGGCTGATGGGACTCCCCTCGCTGGGGTGGCTTGTCGTTGTTTGCCAGCAGAAGGAAACCCCCCCTCCCCCGGGGCGCTGTCTTCACTGCGAACGTGCCATTTGCGGGTAGCCGACCAGGGCAGCCCCGGGACATTGTCTGCCAGGGTGAGCGAGACAAGCTGAAGAGAGACAGCCGCGCTCTAACAAAGACGCAAAGTCTCCGCAGCCCGAACAATTTTGAAAGAGTTGGCTAGGGAGAGGGCCTGGGTCTCTAGGGGGAGACGCTCACGGGAATCCTGCCGCCTACAGCCGGGGGATCATGTTCCCCTGCTCTGGTGGGCCACTGGGCAGCACTGCCGCAGCGGGCCGTCGTTCGGGTGTCCACCAGCCAGGCGGGGTCCACCATGCACTGGCTGGGGCTTCCCGACCGCCACCGCAGCTCCCGGCCCCCGGAGGCCACGCAGCTTCTTTCCTTCCCTGCCTCCCTCCCTCCCTCCCACCTCTTCTTGTCTTTATAGATCCCCTCTCCCTCCCACCCCCGCCGCCGCCGCCGCCGCCGCCGCCGCCGCCGCCGCCGCCGCCAACAATCCGCTTTATAAAAAGCCCCTTTGTTTCCCTGGAGGCTGGAGAGAGGGAAGGGGAAAGGGACGCAGGGGGCGGGGGCGGCTGTCTCCAAGTGGCTCTGAGCCGCTTGGGACTCTAGGGCAAATGTAGGAGATGGGGGAGGGGTTGCGTTTCAGGGACCCTCTGCAGGAACTCAGGAAGGCGCAGGGAGCCCTGGCCCCCAGCTCCCTATGCATGCCTGGCATGCCAGCCTTGGATACCCTAAATCCCGGCAGCCCAGATGTCCTGGCGGGCTGTGTAGCGAGCTGGAGAGCCTTGTTGCCCCAGGCGCCCAGCGCTCGGCCAAGGCTTGCAGCTGTGCTCGCCGGCCTCGGGCATAGGGGGCGCCGTTTCCTCGGTTTCGCTTTGCGAAGGACTCCCAGGCTGTGGGGCGGCTGTAGCGCCCGCCGGTAGCTAAGACGCCCGCGTCGGCTCAGAGGTTTTTGCTACTCCACGTCTGGCTGCATTCCTTCCCGCGTCCTCCGCACCCTCACCCTCACCCCCACCCTCCACCAACACCGGGGGCTCCAACTCTTCGTGAGTTCCTTTTGTTTGGAGGTGTGCAGGGGTGGGAGCCACCACCTGCTGGGGCCTTGCTGTCTGGGCAGGCAGTGAGGACCAGCGTGGCCCTTGGGACCCAGCGCCTACCTGCCACTTCAGCACTAAGTCAGCGTCCGGCACTTGGGAATGTCCAAGATGCACGGGCCGCCCGCTTTAGTGGAATCGATGATTTAGTGGGCCCTTCTTCCTTACACCTGCCGCTCCTCTGCCGCACACCTAAAAATCTGAGGGACTTGGGCATAACATCCCGAGGAGTGTTAAATATAATTTAGAAGCAACCATTCGCCATCCTGTCGGTCCGCTCCACCCCGTCGCCTAAAGTGGTCAGCTTCTCTCCTCTTGAAGTTTGTTCGGGAAGGGAGCACTGACAATAAGGCAAAGTGACAAATAAGGAGAAGTGGGCGGGGCCCCGACTCTGGCTGGTGGGTCTCCGGAGCAGGAGTCAGGTCCCTTCCTTCTACCGCCGCCTTGCCCCTCCCCATCTCATTTAGTCCGATGCCGATTTTGTATTTATGCCTTTTAGTGTATCCTTCCTCTAGGCCACTCCATTTCCATGTCTGGAGATCAGTAGTAAGTGTTGGTCTTTGGAGCAGAAGGTGAAGCGCTAATATCCCCCCTCCCCCATCTAAAAACCACAAGAAAGTAATCAAAGGGTAAACTATTAGTTCTACCTACTCCTCCCCCTTTGTGCTTCTCTTCTGGAGCAAGATCATTGGAAAAGAAAGCTGCTGATGTGCGAGATGGAACATATGGTGCCTCCATAAGAGAGAAGCAGAAATGGCCTTGAACCTGCCGGACAGACCAGCTGTTTGCTGCCAGCCAGAGCAGCTAATCAGCTTCTTCCCCTTAAAGTAACAGCCCTCTTTTCTCTTGATGACCAGTTTGCATATTAAATAGGCTATTCTCCAGAGTGGAGAAATGATGGGTTCCTGTATTGCGTTGTGCTCTGATGGTTGTCCAATGCCTATTCCATGCTCTGGGGACTGCTTTGCTCTCTGAGTGCCTCCCTGCTTCCCCTGTGAAAGCGTCCCCTTCCATGCTAATGTCAGAATGTTGCATAAAGTACAACTTGAGAAGGCGGTGGCAGGAAAAGGGGGAGAGAACCATGGGGCTGATAGATTTCCAGATGCCTGGGAGGAAACCTCTCTGTTTTGTTCCTGCTGCCTTAGGAAAAACCAGCAGTCCTTCCTCCTTTCCCTCTTTAAAAATATCACAAGGAGCTGAAACTCTTCCTCACCATACCTCCTTAAACGCCGTCCTCTTCCGGCCATGAGCATTAGTACAGTGTGTTTTGGTGGGCGTGGGCTGGGAGGGGGCAGTTTGGCATTGGAAGAAGAAAGGCTTCAGGAGATACAAGGAAACTCCATGTTAGGAAATCATTAGCAAAGGGTGACTTCGTCTGTTTTCCTGCCACTGACGCTGACAGTGACACAGATGTGTGGGTTGAAAGAGGAACGTCATTGAATTTTTAAACTCAACGAGGAAATAGCCTGTTGCTGGTGTGGGGGTGGGGGCTACATGTTAGCTGCATTTCAAGGTAGGAGATTACTGTTTCCCATCCTTCTCACTAAGGAAAGGGATTTTTCAAGCTCTGCTGACATGTTTAAGTATCTTTTCTCTTTTAAATTGGTCACCCCCAAAGCTCTCTTGTGAATGGGGCATCCCCAGGAACTGAATTACTGTTTGTGGTCATGAAATGGGCAGAAACTGATCTTAGACAAAGGGTTCTTCTGACAGCAGCTTCTCCACTTCTCTTCTTTGAAGGGGCTTCACATATTCAGTAACCCCCCTCCTTTTTTTTAAGAGTCTGACTTTTTGTCTACCACAGTGCCCTGCAGAGATCATAGCCTAGGAGCTAGGAAACTTGTGTTCTAGAAGACTCTTCCCATTAATGTCCAGAGTGAACCTGAGTGAGTTCATCCTCCCTCCTTGTCTCCCCCCCAGAACCTCTGAATATGAGTCTGTTCCAGTTCTAAAATGCTATGACTTCTTAACAAAATAGTCATTTTCTGGGACCATTAAATATCAAGTTCACCCTTGTCATTGGGGAAAACAGCTAGATACATAAAGAAATGGGATTGAGATTGTAAGGGGCAGGGTGAAAGAGAACACAGGAAAAATGACAGAATGCCAATCAAAAATATATACAAGTGAGAAGTGTTCCCTCTTGGGTCTTTAGCCAGTGTGAACTTCTAACCCAAGTCCTGACTTGTGGAGGCCACTGGGCACTCCCAGGCCTCCCCATCCTGTTGTCCAATTCCAGCCATCTCGGGGCCTACTGATGGCAGTCCTCCTAACCATTGGCTTAGGCTACACGTTAGGGGATCTCAGTGCTGAAATTAGACTGGCGGATTTCCAAAGGGCTCACCTAATATAGAGCAGGTCTGCTGCCCTGCAGCTCTTTAGCAAACGCTTCAAGGACACACAGGCCTTCCAACCACACATGTGCCCCATTGGGTGTGGGTTCTGAACTCACTGCCGAGCCTTTTCTTTTCTTACTAGTCCAGGTGTGTGTGTGTGTGTGTGTGTGTTAAATCAGATTTTCAATTTTGAGGGTGTAGGAGCCATTCAAGAGTACCAATGTCCTGCTTGGTGTTAATATTGATTTTCTTAAATGTGTGGGGGTGAATGTTATGAAAAAGGGCCTTTTATCCTCTGAGCTCTTTGGCAATTATCTTGCTACCATAAATGTTGATACACGTATAATGGATGTAACTAAAAAATATCCTTATCCAAGCAGAAAAGGCTGAGTGTTTGTTGGAGCAGACAGAATGCTGAGAGTGTGAATGGACCAGCCCAGATGTCA